CCTTGCCGCAGCAGCAGCCGCCGACGGCCCGGCAGTTTCTGGATGCGCTGCGGGCGGCGACGGCTCGATCGGGAGCTGCAGAGAAGCGAGCCCAGGAGTTGGAGGCGCGAGCAGAGACGACAGCCAGACAGCAGGACGCTCAGCTTCAGCAGCTTCAGCAGGCGCCCCAGCAGCTGAACGCCGCGGGGGGCGCCGCGGCGGCGAGCCCGGCGCCGGCGAGTAGCGGGCATCGTCGGAAGTGGGGCATCATCGACGCGAAGCTGCTGACGAAGCCGGCCCAGTTCAAGGGCAGCGAGGCAGCGTGGCCCGTGTGGTCGTTCAAGCTGCTGGCGTACATCGCGACGCGGGGCGACGAGCTGTGTCCGGACATGGTCGCGGTCGGGCAGAAGGCCGAAGAAGACGTCGCCGACGAGGCGTTGGACCGGATGAACCCAGCGTTCGTCGGCGCGTCTCGGCAGCTGCGCCGCGTGCTCGTGCTGCTCCTCGATGGTAAGGCGTTCGCCACGCAGCGGTCGATCCCAAGGGGCGAAGGACTGCTGGCGTGGCGCAAGCTCGTGAAGGAGTTCGAGCCCGACCAGTCCGCATCAGCTCTGGGTCGGATGAGGGAGCTGATTGGTTGGGCGTTCGGAGCGGCGACGATCAAGACGGACATGGGCGAGTTCAACGTGGCGGTCCAAGCGCGCGAGCGGCGCGGCAGCGCGGTGCCCAGCGACGCCAAGGCGGCGACCCTCATAGCGGTCATCCAGGACAGGGGCCTTCAGCAGTGGCTGATGGTCAACGCCGACCGCCGCGGGGACTGCGACGGGATCGCAAAGCGCGTGAAGACGTGCCTGGCGAACAGGAAGACGTTCAAGGACGCTGCAGGAGGCGCCGCAGCGGGGGCCACCGCGGCGGACGACGGCGGACCAGCGCCGATGGACATCGGGTCCCTGGCGACGACGTTGGCAGCGGGAGGGGTGTCGCCAGCCGAGGTGACGATGGTCGTAAACGCCATCAAGAAGGGCAAGGGCAAGGGGAAGGGTGGGGGGGGGGAAAAGACGGCGGCAAGAAGGGATACGGGAAGCTTCGCGACGGGAGGAGGACGAGTAAATGGCGCAGCCAGCAAGACGATCGAGTTGAAGGACGGGTTGAATTTGCTTCAGGTACTTACGCCTGCGTCGAGCTCAGCGGCATCGAGCGCGCCTTCCGCGGCGCCGAGCAGCATCGCCCCGGCGCGGGCCCACGCCGTGCAGCTGTCAACGGCGAGCTCGGTGGCCGCTCCGAGCGGCGGCAGCGCCAGCTCAGCGGGTGGCGGGTCCGCGGGAGACACCGCGTCCGCCATCCAGTGGGTGCTGCGCCTGGCGGCCCAGGCTGCGGATCCCGCGAGTCGGATCTCGATGCTACGATCTCCACTGCGTGGCGGCTCAGGAGGCGACGACGAGAGCTGCGAGGGATACATCATGGCGGACTCGGGGGCCTCCAGAACGACGTGCCCACTCGGCCGCGCCCCGAGCGTGGCGATGCGTGAGCCTGCGCAGATCTACGACATCCGCGCTGCAGACGATTGGCGCGTGAAGCACCGCGGCGAGAGGGGCGGGCAGTGCAACCTGCTGGGCAGCTCGGGCGCGCGCGGAGTGGGCGTCGACTGCCAGGTCGCCGACGTCTCGCATCCCATCGTGGGGGTAGCCGAGGCATGCGACAAGGTCATTCTGTGCTGTTCTCACCGACGGACTCGTGCATCGTGCCCGTGGCGCTTAGCCTACCTGAGGGCATCACCAACGTGCCTCTGGCGCGGCAGGACAACCTGTTCTGGGTGCCAGGGCGCGTCGCGGGAGGAACCGCGACGGCGTCCGAGACGCTACGGCTCCACCCAGTCGGGGCCGAAGCGCCCGCGGCAGCAGCTCCCGTGGCGGCCGAGCAGCCGCGACGCGAAGAGGCGCCGCTGGCGGAGGCGGAGCCCGACGGGGTGCCGGCCAGGGCGAGGCGGGTGCCGCCGCTCCCCAGCCAGGAGGAGATCGACAAGCGCGAGCTCGCTCACCTCCCACCGCGAGGTTGGTGCGACAAGTGCGTGCCCGCCAAGGCGGCAGACGGCCCGCGCCGACAGGGCTGCGTGCCTGGCAGCATCGACGAGGTGCAGATGGACTACCTTCAGCTCGGCGCCGTGGTCGCAGCTGAGGAGCTGGCGGCCTCTGCCGACAGCATGGCGTGGTTGGCTCCAGCGGATCGGCAGGTCGACCAGGCCGTCCTGATGCCGCAGCTGGTGGACCCAGGCGCTGGCGACGGCGTGGAGGTGCTGCTCAACGTGCTGGTGGTGGCGCGCCGCCAGTCTTCCGCAGTGCGCGCGGTCCTGGGGCCGAAGGGTATGCATCTCTTCATGCCCATTGAAGCGAGTGCGGCCATCGACGCCTGGGGCGTCGCGGAGTGCATCCTGCGCGCCGACAGGGGCCAGCAGTCCAGGCGTTGGCCGAGCAGATCTCCGAGGAGCGGAAGGTGAAGGGCTGCAAGTGCCAGCTCGCGGCAG